AGTCTGCAGGGCACACGGCGAAAGCCACAGCTTAAAAGAGAGCAGGGCAGTTGGAGACCGTCCCCAGCGGCTGGGTGCGTTCATTTGGCCAGGACCGGTCCCCAGCTCAGCTGCAGCAGTGGCCTGGTGCGGCCTCAGATACTGCACGAGGACACGCTCCCCTCTCCACCCCTCCAAAATGCTGTTTTTATGTTTAAAAGACTAATTTCCCTCTTTTAACTTAGAGGAAAAATCACTGCTGTGTTTCCATTCTGCCATTAGAAACAAAGGGACCAGGGCAGGGAGGGAGGAGAAGTCACAAAACAACTTGGAAGAAACAAATTTGCCAAGTTTACTGCAAGAAGACAAAAGTAGAAGCCTTGCCGGATCCCATTTTCTTGCCGCTCCACATTTCCCCTCCCCGAATCCCCCTATTCCCAGGGGATGAAGTCTGCCGCTGGCAGCTCCGAAGCCTTGCTGGGGCCAGGCCTCGGGACGGGGCCGTAGCAGAGCCCTGGGAGTCCTGTTCCCGACCCTTTCTGCCGGCACAGCCTCCTTTTGCCCTGCCACCGCCTCTCCCAGCCCCTTGCAGCGGAGAAACAGGTCAGGCAGCCAAGCAGAGGCTCCGGGCTCGGCTGGGGTCTGCCCCTTGGGCATCGTCTCCCCTCAGGGGAGCACCCCAGGGCCAAGGGGGCCGGATCGGCCCACCCCAAACTGAGCTGAGGCTGACGGCTCCTGGCTCCGAAAAGCGGTGCTGAGAGGCAATCCACTCCGGAAACCACTGCCGAACACCCTGCAAAACGTCACCTTACCCAGGAGCAGGCAGAAAGGCAGCAAGGCACCAGGCAGAGTTCAGAGGAGGAAGAGTTTTGCATGGCCCAGGTACTTCAAGTTCATTTGCAACCTTTCCGGTTCACGTTTGGTTTTCAATTCCTTTCCCCATTCCCCAGCCCACCCCAAAGCACCACTGAAGAGCTGTCAGGAGTGGCCTGCTATGACAAATCCTAATTGCAAGTTATACGTGCCCAGCTGGTATCACAACCAGAAATTAACACCGAAACCGCAGGCAGCGAGAGGAAACACGGGAGGACAGCTCCGAGGAGAGAAGGGGAACGCAAGGGAGCCGAGGGCTCGGAGCCAGGCAGAGGAGCCGCATCCT